AATATTATTACATAGGAATAGAGCATATTTACGAATAATACATTAGAAATAAATGATTTATAAATAAGATATTTATGTATATATGCGAAATAGCATTTGTTTTAAACATTGTTAATATTAATAACAAATTGAACAAGAACTTATTCGAATAAACCTTTAAATTTATTGAAATAATATACATTATATTTTATTATTATTATATATATGTACTCACTGTTATTCCATATTTAAAATTATTTAGTTCCCATCGTAAACCAGCTAAATCAGCAGCATATGTATATTCGTTAAGAGAATCACGAAACAGCTGAATAAACATATAAGTATAATTGCAACTAAGGGGATCCATAGAGGCAAATGGGCTATAAATTAGAGACCAAACAAACATTGTGCATAAGTAAAGAAAATATTTTTTTGTTATAAGAAATTATATTTTATTCTCATCTTTAAATAACTTTAAATATTCTCATCTTTAATATTATAAGAATTATAATTGCAAGATCAAGTTTATTTTTTTAAAGTAATTTTAGTGCGATAATCAGTTTAATATTATTATATTTGGGATGCACACACACACACATTAATATCTGCTAATCTCATCATATTGTAAATTAATAATAAAGATCATTTAAGTTACCAGATTATTTCAAAATTGCGTTTAAAAATATTTCAATATTACATATTCCGTTAGAGCAGCAACATATCTTTCACGATTACTTAATACATACCTAAAGAAAGCGAAGATCATCTTAGCTTTAGGCACAAGAAATTCATCGTCTTTTTTATACCAAAGTCTTACAAATGATGTATTTTCTAAAATAATGGGAAACTTTTCAACCTGTAAAATTTAACTTGTTAATATATTTAATGACATGCAAATATTTACATAATGAGATCGCATAAAATGGGCCAAAGAACCACTTTATGTACAATTAAATAAACGCCAAAATTATTGCATGTTGTTTTTTTTATTTATATCACGAACTTTTAGCTTTCTGTTGTGTAAACTAATCTTTAAATATCGACATGGCATATACTTCTGTAAAGTTAGTACAAAAATATTTATTCAAACCCACTTCACATATATTATTATAAAAAAACTGTACATGTGTATATAAAAAAGACAGAGTTTGTTTTAAGTTACTCTGACATTAATTAAAATTTATTTCATATCAAATTTCACGATATAGTTTACTCTCCATGACGATTTTGCTGTGAGTATTATAATGTAATAAAAAATTAATATTATAAAAAATAATATTTTTAATTACATTAGTTTGTAGCTTGATATCAAATGTAGTTGCTATAAATTCATTCTTGACAGGCAATTTCAGGTCATCATTAAAGCCAGGGGAGTTCCATGTGTTTATTATTTCCTTGGATATCTTCACTTTTTTATATTTAGTGCCATACCAACTTTCAATTTCATCAGCTATATTTTCACATGCTTTTGCAGTTACATGAATCCTAACATTTTGCGGGATCAAATATTCCATTATTTCCTCTATTAAGTCCGGCCGCCATGCAGATACCGCGCAACCAAATTCATTCATGGTGATTTCTTGCAACTCTCGAACCGTACATTTCACAGAAATAAGAGGCGAAGATTTTTCTTTAAATCGAAAGTATGTATTTGCAATATTTTTATATTCCTGCAAATGTACAAAATGCATTTCATATTTAATATACGATATTGAAATACAAAATGTCTGGTAAATTGCGATAGCATAATTTTCCGGACATTCTACATAAAATTATAATTTATTTCGTCAATTACGTCGTAGATCCATTTGATTGGTCCTTTCGACTTAAGCATATTGATATATTGAAACACCATTAGAACAATATCTTCGATGTGTTTAATACCTTCTTCGGTCAAATCGACATTAATATTGAAAATACGGAAGCCTCTGGTGGAAGGATGTATTCTAGATCCTATTAAGTTACACCATCCTTTAGCTTTCAACGCTGATAATAATGAGCCTTTTCCTTTATGTTCAAGTAAATAATAAACGTAATATTCAGGCTATATTGAAAAATTAACAATAAATATAAAAAAATACACATGTACATGCACGCACACACACCACACATACATGCACACGCAATGTGCGCACACTCACACACATATATACAAGAGGTCCTATTTTAATTTCTCCAGTCAAGTATCTCGAAAAATATGAAAAATATAGAAAAATGTTTCAAATAAGAGTGGAACGGTTTCGATAAGGATGTATTTTAGTCAAATTGTTATTTTTTGTAGATGGAAACGTCAGAAAGATATACAGATCGTCTCCATCTTTTTAAATGGAATTGTATGTTTTTTTTATACAATATGATATTCTTTTATTTTAAGTATTCTGCATATAAAAGTATTAAGGTAGTGATATCAAAACAACCAATAGTTTACGAGTTATTTAATATTTTATGTCAATATGTGCCATAATAAAATATAAAATATCTCGTCCCACTCTAAACCGTTCCACTTTCATTGGAAACATTGTTCTATATTTTTCATATTTTGCGCGCGCGCGCGTGTGTGTGTGAGTAAAACACTGTGTGTGTGTGTGTGTGCGCGCGCGCGCGTGTGTGTGTGTGTGTGTGTGTGTGTGTGAGTATGTATACAAAACACTGTACGACAAAAAAACTTGAACTGTCAATTTTTTAAAATTACAATGTGATGGAACAATTTAAAAAGCAGATTCGTATTCCATAAAATTACGGAAAATAACTGTTCTCGTTTCAGTGTTTTGTTTTGTAATTACTTAAAAAAAGAACTAACAATAAGATATAATATTTATTTAAAATATCAAAGCCAATGGAGAAGTATATTGTATTACCGAAAAGCCGTAATGTTGACGCATGTCTGGCGAAGGAAACGAAATGTCTAAATATCTTATATCCCGTATTGGAACAATGTACCATATAGTGCGGAAATGTTCATCCTTAAATGGATGTTCAGGCCATATTGGAACTTCAATTTCGTTGTTTCGTACTTCGCAAAACAAATCCACTACTATATTTTCGAGTTCATCTAAACTCTCTAAGTAAAAAATTTATTTGCTAATAGAAGATAATGTTTTCAGATGTTCTTATCATAAATAGATTCAATAAATTATCGTCATACCTTTGCCAAGAACAGACAGTGACATAATATTTGCGGAATAATAATTTTCGTGAAACTCTAATAGTTTATTTCGAACATTAATACCCTTTTGTTTCGGTATTGTGTCTAATGTTTCTCTATTTCCTATGTTGAATTTCGAAAACGGATGGTCTGAACTCGCAGATGATCTCTCTAATTGATTAAATCGCGCTCCATAACTTGTTACATTTTTCTCGTATTCTGAATTTATGGCATTTAGTTCTAGCTCAGTTAAGTTCTCCGTAAAGAGAGGCGCCAAGAAAAATTGAGCAAAACGATCTAAAGCGCCTTCTAACTTCTCGGTAGCTACATCGAAGTAATATACAGTGTGATCTAAACCTGTTGATGCGTTATACTCACCACCATTCCGTGACAGAAATTTTTTGAAATCATTCTGTTGAGGATATTTTTTCGTTCCTAGGAACATCATATGCTCACAAAAATGCGCTAATCCAGGTAGATCATCTGGATCGCACATAGAGCCTGTAACACATATTTTATCTCTAAACTTCGACATTAAAAATTTGACAATTATTAATAAAAATATATTAGTTCCATCACATTATAAAATACAACTAAATCCAGCAGAAAATAATAACAATAGTAACAATATAAAGTAGTTAAGAAAAATATACATAGACGACAAAAAGAAGTCAGAATATTGACTCGTGGCCTAAAGGCTTAGGACAATCGTATGGAATGCATAAGATTTGGGTTCAGTTTTCTCTATTTGGCTGCTTTCAACGCCTTTAGTACTTCTATTCTTTTTGTCGTCTAACGAACGATAAAGACAGAAGGATGATTACAAGCGTTTAAAGCGCGTGAGCGTCCAAATCGACCGCAACCTGTATTTGTTATAATTTATAATATATACAAAATGATTTTATATAAATGTTCTTGTAAAAATCGCTAGAAATATCGAGCAAAATAATATAATTACCGGCATTAATGTCCATTGCAGCAGCACTTTTATCAGTTGTTGGATCGCTTATTAAAAGAACTTTCATTTTATTACTGATTACTAAACCTCTATATAATCGGCCATTATTTTGTTTTATTATATCATTATATCGCTTTTCCACACGTACAGTCGACATATTGGTCATCGGAGTAATAAATTCAGAAATTAGATTTCTAGGCATGAAGAAAATGCAAATAAAAATTTTAAGAATGCATGAATTTGTTGATCTATTATATCGGATTGCATTAATAATGCTGAAAAGTATTCTAAAATTAGAGCGGAGCTATTCCATTATTTTCAACTTCTAAATGTAATTCAAAATTAATTTTGTACAACAACAAACAATATTTTTTTGCAGTAGTGCTTATAACTAATACAATTATGACTACTTCTTAAGAGCATATGTATGATTTTTAAATGTTCAATATGCTGCTTCAGAGCATAAACAGTTATGAGAAATGGACAGATTTCATTATTTCAAATCAAGTTTTCCTTCAATTTCCATTTGTTCTAATTGCACAGGTGCAAAAGAAAAATATGTTGTATGCTTTATCTCTCATTTCCTTTTTTCATCATGTTTAAATAACAAATATACAAGTAGGAAAATAATACAAAATTGAAACAAAGAGAAACTTAACAGTTAAACTTAACAGTAGATAATTTATAAAAAAAATGAACTGATAAGATCATATTACTAGAAAATAATTTTAGTTGATGGTTGTAATACTTTTGTTTACTTAATATTGTCGATGTATTTATATGTACGTATCAAAAAAATTAAAAAATATGAACATTGTATTGCGTTAAAAATTTTTTATGCTCGATTATGTAAACATACATGAACATGTAATATGAACACTCACTAACATATATATATAATAATTATACATGGAATATATCTATATCTATCCATTATGATTTTTTTTTGTAAAATTACTGTTTAATATTTTAGTAATATTACGGGATTCGGACTATTGTGTGGTCAGTGCCATCGATCGACCTCAGTTTTTCAAAAATTAAAGCCATTATTTCTGAGTACGTTGTCTTATTCGACTTGAATGGCAAATGCCAGAAGAGAAGTTCACCTCTCTCAATTTTTTATTCGACCTCATACCCGGGGAAAACAATTTATTTCTCGACTGTTCTAAAATATTTCGAATTCTCGGTTTAAAATTATACGTGATCTAGCAGTTTAGTTTTTTCGCGAGATGCAGCGGTTGCGTCTCATTTCCTTAGCGGATTACATCATATGTGATTATGCGCTCGACTGCTTCGTCGGATTATTAGGCATATGCTTCGATAAATAAATGCGATTTATAACGCGTAATATTCTCGCTTTCTTTGCCGCTGTTTACGTTCATCGGTATAACTGTCTCGTGTCTATCTCTCCGTGTTGACTGTTTTTTTTTGCCTCAAACAACTAAGAAGCCCTCGCGCGGATTTAGCTATATTCGGTATTTTTCATGGGGGAGATTCGTATATCCTATTCTTTTACGAAAAAAAAACTGTCGTTTATATTTAAATTGCAGCTAGGGTAGTGGCGATAAATTCGCTACAATATAATAAAAATAATAATAATGAGACAACATAAAAAATAATTACAAGGACAATTTTCCTTTATTTCTTTGAGAAAAAAACAAGTTTGAAGAAATGTAAAAGAACTACTTATATAGTTATATATAAAATTATACATAATTTTATATGATGACTTCGAGAAGCAGATACGTTATGTACATGAAACATTCTTTCTCTCTCTTTCTCTCTCTCTCTTTTTCTCGGACGATGCTTCCATAATGACAAAACAGCATAATATTGTTTTACACAAAGATCTTGCATTACCTCGTAAAAGAAATGAAAAGTGACACCGATAAAGCCACTTGCCGTCGTGTTGAGGACAATGAAATTTCAACGGAGCTGCTGACAGTCTTCCGATATTGTCCATTAAGGGAGTCGCAAAATTGCCAATTGTGCCAAACCACTTTGATTTAATGACCGACGTAAATATTCGATGATGACGCGGCGAACAATTGGAGCGGTGTTCTTGTCAAGTATACGTAGGACGACGACGAGTGACAAGTGGTGGATTCGCTTTTGCGGAGAAACGTAGGTACCTAAAGAGCAGGCAAGAGTACACGAGCGGCACACGAGATTTTAACGCGCACATGACGAACTTCGGAGCAATCGGAGCATCGGAGAACGGAGACGAATCTGACGAATTGCAAAGTCGGATCAACGCAAAGTTCTACACTCGCTGTCCGCTCTGATTCGCCGTTCAAATCAACTTATGTCACTGGTAGCCATTTAGGATTGTCAATTGACGATTCTGTATTAGCGAATCATCATGATGTGACGAGTATGGGCTACCTTCATCGTAATTGGCTAAATAGACTCCTCAACCGGTAACCTTAATCAGAAGTAATGCGATTATAACTTTACGATTTAATAAATAAATCGAAACTATGATAAGAGCGTGTTGGAATAATTATTCGATTAGTTCAATAAAATTAGTGATTATATGATCTCTAATTTTAAGTTAGTCGAAGTTTTTAATTCAAATCAATCGTGGAAATGCGAAATTCGTAATCCGGGTAAAACCTTCCTTTCACACAGTCAGCACTAAACGATCTCCATGTGACCGTGACTTTGATCTTAACTCTTAAGAACATCAAGGTCATTAATCTTTTCCGTCGCTCGTTATTCATTAAAAAGATATTAATGAAAACGTTTTTATGGATAATACGATTTCCATACGTAGCGATTCTCACCCCCCCCCCCTTCTTCCTAGTAATATTGTAAAGTAATATTATTAAAAAATCATTTTTTTTTATTTTAATTAGAATCTGGAAATTACATATTTACCACACGGAATCGCACTTTACGTGTAATAGAAAATAATTCATTAGCGATTAAGTAATGTTTAACTTCAAGTTTCTTCAAATTATTCTGTTATCTCGTATCATCAGCGAAAATCATTTTACATTCTTTTCTGACTAGCGTTTATTGTTTAATTTTATGTTTTTTATTTTTGACATCTTTATTTTTGTATGTACTGATGATGGTCAAATCTTGACCGAAACATCTACATTATTATGTTATAATTTTAAATATATGACTTTTGCTTAAGACATCTAGTATTGTGGGCTGAATGCTCTTTTTTACTTATATATTTTATTTTATTTAATTGACTCAATTCCTTGTAACAATTTATATATTGATATATAAATTTGCTCTTTCTTTTAATATTTACTTCAATGACCAACATGTCATACTTTTTATTTAAATTGTATCAAGCATTTCCTTACTAAAAATTTTAAGCATGTCGTATATGAATTTAGACACCTGATTAAATGTAGTTTCTTGCACTGGAAATCCTGTTTCGGAAATTTTATTCAAAATACATTTGAAATTTCAGATAAGTTTCACGTCAACTCTTATCTGTAAATCCTGTTTTGTCCGACGCATATTTAAAATTCCAGATAATGTAGGATAAATTCGTTTATTTTTTGTTTTTAATTGAAAACGTATCTTCATGCAATTACAAATCCATCTTTTATTGAAAATCCATAAGAATTTGTTACTAACTTAAACACAGGAATATATATTTAAACTGGATTATGTTATTTCCTGATATAAACCAGCAAACTATATGTCGGAAATTTTTTACAATAAACGTATTTAGAATTGCGGATGTAAACAGACAACATTTTTATCTGGGAATCCAACTATACTATGAAATAGAAATGCTTATACACTGGGCAACAAAATTAACGCAACACCTGTTTACTCTGCAAAAATAGGCAAATTTCATGATACAATAACTTCGTCAAAAATTGTCGTATCGTGATGTTTAAAAAAGCATTTTACAGATAGAAACGTCTACTTTTTGAATCGCTTTTTAAAAAAACGGTCTCATGGAGATTTTATAAAGTTACACAAACATAAATAAAGATATATTAAATCTCAAAATTTTCTATGATATTTGCGAAGCTCCACGGAGTGGAATAAAAATTGTATACAAATGCAATTTACATCATTCGAAAGATCGAATATTTACCTTTAATTTTCTTTTTTACGAAACTCCGTACGATTTTTTTTCATTGAGTTATTCAACGTTGAAGCAAAAGGACCATTTTTAATATTCGTTGCGTACTATGTTTTGACTTGTAAGTAACAGATCTCACTGTAGATTATCTTTGCTCATGTTTGTTGTATAGTCGAGAATATAAAACAATAAAACAAAATATTCGCTCATGATGAATTTTATTATTTTATAAATTGTTAAAAATGTCAGACAATAAATGGAAACATTTTATTCATTTTTTAATTAATTTTTCTATAATTGCTCTAGAATTGCTTCCTTTTCGGTCATATCACAATTTCTGGAACGCTGTATATTCACTAATTAACGATATTAAAAATTATAATGCATGTAAAAATATGGCGAATACGAAGTATAAAAATCACTAAGTTATTCGCCAGGCTTCTCAATGTTGTTCATTTGAAAGAATATGTTTTTTGTCTAAAGAGAACGCGTGCAGATTTGTTGACTTGTTGCGAACGATATAATGCGACACAATTTCGAGGAGTAGGAAATGGATACAAAGTGACTTCAGATTAACTACACGTGCGGACGGCACGGCTAATCTGCGCGGAATATAATTAGCCTTAGTGACTAATGCTAGTGAGGTCGCTAAATTTAGCTAAATGTAATCATAATAGCGCAGGTGGTCATTTTACCCTTTTCAAGTATTTGACAAGCCTAGATTAAACGGACCGCGCAAAGCAGCGGCCGCAGTGAGTCACAGCGAGGCTAATTATATATATAATACCTTTGCTAGAATATACTCAGAGGTCCTTTTTGACCTTTCAGCTCTTTTCTCGTTCTCAATTATGAGTACCATATGCGTTATAATTTCTCCATTAATTTTAATCGCTTATTCATAAATTCATGCGTGCATTGAAAGAGAAATTTGCTAAAAAATCTAAAAATTTGGCTAAATACCAATCTAAAAATAATTTTGTTGGATTATTAAAATAATTTTGCAGAATTTTAAGCATGATGAGTAATGCTGTAAAATGTTTTGATATTCTAGTAACAGATTATGTCGTCCTACCTAATTATTTTGATGATACAACAAAATTATTTAGTCAGATCTGTATCTAGTTAAACTCTTTCATTGT